CAAAAGATCCTCGCAAAAAATTGCCACCATGAAAAACCCCCCATAGGGATCATTGTCTCTATAATTTACAAAAACAGAAATGTCCTAACTTCCTGAGCGCAATTGCCGTCTCTAATTTTATTTGTAAAAACTTTCTTCATTAGCAAGAATCACTTTCCCTTTGTTTTTTATTTATTTATTTTTTAAAAAAAATTTATCCGACTTTCCCTCGTTCTTATAAGATAGAATATATATAGGATGGGATTCAAATAAAAAAATTATAGGATCGGACAACTTAAAAAAATAAAAAAATTGATAGGAAGGGTCAGGTATCACCAGCCCTTTTCCAAGTCTAGCCTGCAAAATTAGGTTAAAATCAATATTTAGCCCCTCATCTTAAAAAATTGATAAGTTTTAGTCCCTAACCTTATAATATGACACTTTTAGTCTTTTACCTTACAAAATTGGTAGGATTGAATCCCTTACCTTACAAAGTTGGTAGGTTTTAGCCCCAATCTTATATTATGATACTTTTAACCCCTTATCTATACGAATTGAAGAAAATAGCCCTAATTTAACATTAGATTTTAATATTTTATTAGTTCTGTTAACTGACTGTCAGTTCTATTAATTGATTGTCAGTTTTATTAACTGACTGTTAGTTCTTTTAGTCGACTGTTAGTATTCGTTAGCATTCCGTTAATGAAACTAACAAATAAAATTAAATTTAAATTTCATATTTTTTATAATGGAATGCTAACAAATGTTAACAGTCAGCTAACAAATGTTAACAGTCAACTAACAAAACTAACAAAACGTTATAACCTGATATTAGGTGAGAGTTATTTTCTTTAATTCGTATCAGGGATGGGCTAAAAATATCATAATATAAGGTAAATGGTTAAAACCTACTAACTTTATAAGGTAAGGGATTAAAACTTATTAATTTTATAAAATAAAAAGCTAAAATTATTATAATATAAGATAAAAAGTTAACACTTACCAATTTTATAGAATGATGGGCTAAATGTTGGTTTTCCCGTAAAACTAGTGGGCTTTAAATCCGTAAAACTTTAGTATGGGCGGGTTGGCACGGACGAAAACCCCGTATTTTTTGTTCTCCTTATTATATAAACCCTAATCTAGGGTTCCTGTTTCCATTCCAACTCCAACATCGATCAAGAGATAGCGCCAGCGTACCTTCTGCATTCTCCCCTACCTCTTCTCGCCGCCCTCAGCGCTCCTCTTACTAAGGTTTTCTTCACGCTCCGTGCTCGTTACTGGTTTTATGCTTCGATTTGCTGCATTTTTCATGCATATAGATTTTGTTTAGTCTCATATTCGTGTTAGGAGGTAGACTCTAAATCTTCCAATTGCATGAATTCTTTTCTGTTTGGTTGCCGAGAAAATGATAGAGCTTGTAAATTCTTTATTCACTTTGTTGATGCTAACTAGCTACCTGTTCCATTTGCTGCATCTTGAGATTATTTACTTTCGCCAAATTAATAATTTCTATGGTTTTTGAGGCAATAGGTCATAGTTTAACATCATTGCTGCTGCTTGCTTTCTTACCGCGTTGGTGCCTATGTATAGGTATGGAAACTGCTGTGGCTCCCGCTATAGAAACTGTTCGAGACTATGATGTTAAGCTATTCAACCGGTGGGACTTCGACGTCGAGGTGCGTTATATAATTGTTCATGGCTTGATAGGATAATGTTGTGTGGTTATTATGTTGATGATTGATTTATAATCACAATGGTTCATTCTGCTAATTTTATGTAGTTATTTTAAATTTGTTGCAAAAATACATTTTGTAAATGGTTTCCTGTGCTACACTCGGCAGTCTCTGTTCCTCTTGATATGTAGATACAATAATTATTATCTCATGAATATGTGTCTCTGCGTGAACAACTTGATGTGTGTGTGTGTGTCTTCTTCTTCTTCTTCTTCTTCTTCTTCTTCTTCTTCTTCTTCTTTCTCTTTTGAAATTTTGCTTTCAATTTGTCGGTGTGAGCCTGGAACAGTGTAAGTAATTATTTTGTGGCAAATGCCTAGGTCACTGACATGTCTCTGGTAGACTACATTGGAGTACAAGCAACCAAGCATGCAACTTATGTGCCACACACGGCTGGGAGATACTCAGTCAAGCGTTTCAGGAAGGCCCAATGCCCAATTGTTGAGAGGCTTACCAACTCTCTTATGATGCATGGCCGAAACAATGGGAAGAAGCTGATGGCAGTGCGGATTGTAAGGCATGCCATGGAAATTATTAGTCTATTGACTGATCAGAACCCAATTCAAGTTATTGTTGATGCTGTTATCAACAGGTGAGTTGATGAGTGAAGTTTTCTATCATTTAATTTTTGTGCCTTCTTCACATGCACGCTGAAATTGTCTGCTACCATGCTCATTTACATATTTGTGCTTTGGGCTAATGTAATTCTTGCCATTGTACTTTTCTTGATGTTCCTATTGAAATTTTTACTCATATTGCAGTGGACCCCGTGAGGATGCTACTCGTATTGGTTCTGCTGGTGTTGTGAGGCGTCAGGCTGTTGATATTTCTCCTTTACGACGAGTGAACCAGGCTCTCTATCTCCTGACTACTGGTGCTCGTGAATCTGCCTTCAGGAATGTCAAAACCATTGCTGAATGTTTGGCTGATGAACTCATTAATGCTGCAAAGGGTTCATCTAACAGGTAAATAAGGCCTCATCCTTATTAATATCTGCTTTTAATGTCTTATGCAAGATCCTTTAGTCTTTATGCTGATTGTTTCTTTTCTTTTTCAGCTATGCCATTAAGAAGAAGGACGAAATTGAAAGAGTTGCCAAGGCGAACCGTTGAGGAGTTGTTAGAGATATCTCAATGGCACTTAGAAGAATTTGTGGTTTTTAGAAGTCAAGAAGTTTCCAGTTTTGTTTAGAAAGAAATCATGTGAATTATTTTCTTATTTGCAGTGAAGAGTTATTACCTTTTTATTTTCTTATCTAAGAATGAAATTTGCATAATTGCATTAGATGTGGCTGGCTTGAAATTGTGAAAATTGTGAAATTTTGATTTTCATTTGAACTCATTGCATGTTCAGTGCTTATAATTTAACAATATAGTATGATTGGTCTATGAATAGTCTCAAATTCCAGCTCTTGCTTGGTTATTTCTTTGAGAGGT